GCGGCCCGCCCCGCGCCCCGGCCGCTGCTCCCCGCCCGTTCCGGCTGGCAGGTGGCGGGGGCGGCCGCTCCGGCCGCGTCCCCCCTCCCCGGGCTGTGACCGGCCTCTCGGTGCGGCGACCCAGGGACGCCGTTTCTTTTTCGGGTTGAGAGGAGGGGTTTTTCCCTTATAAAAGAGGGTAAACGCTCCTTTTCCTGTCAAAAAAAGGCATTTTCGCTGTGGAAATATCCCCCCCGCCCCGCAGCGAGCGCGGTGTCCCCGGAACAATGAGCCTGACAGCTCCGGCCGCCGCCGCCCCCCCCCGGGAAGCCCCTTCCCCGGCAGCCCCGGGTCGCGCCGGGTCGGGCGGGCAGAGGCCACCGACGGTGGGTTCGGATGGGAAAGCTGTCAAACGCCGTCTCCCTCCCAGGGATTTTTTTTTATATATATTTTTTTTATTTTTTTTTTCTGCCCTCGAAATCGCTTGAATTTGCAGCCAAAGGCAGCGCTGCCTTTCGGGGGGGCTGTAGTTCTGCTGCCGGTTCGAACCCAGCGGCGCAGCCTTCTTCCCCTGCTGGAATGGAAGTTTACCCTTCTTTCTGGAAAAAAAAAAAATGTTCGAATTGTGCGAAGTGGGAGAAAAGCAGACCCACATTAATATTATCTGCTCGCGCGTTATGGCTGCGTCTTGCTCCGGTCATCAGCTCGGTTACAAAAGGCCGAAGTTTTACAGGCCTCATCTTTATTTTTCTTCCATTCTGGTATTAAATCTCTCCGTTGTGATGGGTAGAGCCGGGTTTGTGAAGCGTGTCTGTCAGATCTCTGATCCCCCATTAAGCGTGCCCGTCCTAGAACATCGTGACTAGGAGCTGGCTGTCCTTAACGCCTATAATAACCCTCTTCAAACAAATTCCAAAGCCATTCTCCAGCAGTGAGGTGTACAGGAATTTTCTCTGGGTTACAAGTTGTAGGTAAACTTAAAGGGTGCCATGACAGCATAGCTAGCAATATTAGAGGCTTGTTAACGTTTGGCATTATCTCTTAAGGTTTTGTTTCACAATAGAGTGCCTGCCTCTCCCAAAATTCCAACTAAAGTATTCAAGTTTTACAACATAATTATCTATAATTATATAGAATGGGATGTTTTTCTGATTACTTGACCAAAAATTGGCTTCAGTGGGGTGTTTTGTTTGTTTTCGAAGGGGGGATAGTTGTTATAATTTTAGCTTTCTGTCTTCAGAAAGTTCCATTTTATCTAATACGTAACGTATTGACATGCTTTAAATTTTTAAGTTACTAGAATTGCAAGCTGAGGGTTGCTTGCAGGTAAGCTTTGAGATAAAAGTACAGTGTTTCGACGTAACAGAAGAACTCAATTTAGAACATCCACCACACAGACACACACACACACCATTTCTGTGCTTGAAAAGAAGCCTTTCCAAGAACCGTCAGATTTGAGAACAACACTAAAGATAAATACTGCTCTTCACTGTCAGTCAGGCTCAGTGGGTCCACCTCTTGGTAGTATGACAACCACTATAGGTGACTTTTTAGCACAAGTTGTGGCTTAGGAATAAAAACTTACCATCCTGTAAAATATGCCCTCTAAAGACTACTTACGTTTTCATATTGAGGAATATAATGCACTTGTTAGATACAGAAATACTTTATACCATGTCTAAATAGGAAAAAAAAT